ATATCATTATTGCTCATGACAGTTTTAAGTGCCGAATAACATCAACAGATTCCAGCTAATCAAAACTTAAACAAAAACAACAAACAACAAACAAAACAACACCGGATGCTCTTCAGGAGCAATAACAATAAATTAAATCTAATAAAAATCTGTAGTTTACATTTAGTAGAAAATCACCAGGTCCACATACTCATCAGTCCTTCACAGTTAATCTCCACGTCCCCAAACCAACACCACAGAAAATGTTGTTAATTATATAATATATTGTATCATTATATATTATATGCAAAATGTATAATATAATTAGATGAAAAGTATCAAACTTGCAAAACAGAGGCAACTTGCCCAGGAATATGCAGCAAATAAGTGGTAGGCTTGGTACATGGAATTCTTGAACTTTTGGCTTAAATCAGGGCTTCTACAATTTTTCCTTCAGTGACCATTTTCATCCAGGAAATTTTATACAAACCCACCTATATGTAAGTATATAAAATAGGCGCACAAATCAATGATTAATAATAAATCTGTCCTAGTTAGCCTTGTCAACTCGACACAACCTAGAGGTATGTGAGGGGCAAGTCTCAACTGAGGAATCATTTAGATCAGATTGGCCTGTGGGCACATCTGTGGGGGATTGTCCTGATTGTTAATTGATGGAGGAGGGCCCAGCACACTGTGGCTAGCAGTGCCCCTGAGTAGGAGGTCCTGGAATGAGCCTAGAAGCAAAATCAAGAGTGAGCCAGTGGGCTCACTTCTCCATGGTTCCTGCCTTAAGTTCCTAATGGTTCCTGACTTAAGTTCCTACTCTGACTTTTCTCAGTGATAAACTGTGATCTGGAAGTGTAACTCAATAAACCCCTCCCCACATTGCTTTTGGTCTGACTGAATATTTTATCCTAGCAACAGAAATCAAACTAGAACAGAGGTATAAATAAATTTACTTCAAAACATTGGTTTACATACAATTTTATCATTTTTCAGGCAAAAAACACACTCCAGTACTAATGAGGTGAGCATGCTCATTTATTTTTACATAAACAATTAAATCCTGGATGAATAGTTGATGCTACATGATATAGAGCAGCATCAATGTTTTTCAGAGTTGGTTCGTACTTTGACTTTATGATGTCAACACTGAGAATACCACTTCGTGTAAATACGAACAAATGGAAGAAAGATGTGTAGGGATTTTTCAGAAACTACTGGAAATTTTGTCCCAATCCCAAGTCAAAATTAATTTAAAATTTTTAGTACATTTATTTACTTATTGTGTGTATACACAGGCATGGATGTGTGTGCAGCTAAGTATGTGCACATGGACACGCTATGGTGTACATGTGGAAGTCAGAAAACAACTCGTGGGCCTCGTTTATCCCTTTCTACCATGTGTATCGAACTCAGGCTATCAGGCTGAGCCGTCTCACCGGCCCTTTGCTTATTTTTTTTTTTTAAAGTGAAATGCAAGAAACCAACTTAAACAGCAAGCCTTCTAACACAGTCCAAGGATGTCCTAATTTGATATGTATGTGCTGAGAAAAGATGTTAGGAGAATATAAAAGTCTGTCTTTTGAGGCAAGCATGGTGACACACACACACCTTTAATCCCAGCACTCAGGGGGCAGAGGCAGGTGGTTCTCTGTGACTTTGAGGCCAGCCTGGTCTACAAAGGAGCTCCAGACAGACCAGCCAGGGCTGCACAGCGAGTCCCTGTCTCACAAAGCAGCATGTCTTCTGTGACTGAACACTTACACTGGGGTAAGAGCAGAAAACTTTCTGGGCTGTCAATCACTGCCATTCATTGCACTCATGACCCTCATCATATCTGCACCTCCAAGGCAGCATTCGCTGGTCTCTCAGGATGTGGTAGTGTGAGCACTGAATCCTGCAGGAGCTGAGTGTGTAGACCAAGGCTGCGGCCATGTCCTACAACAAAACCGGGGCAAACACTGGCAGAAACTTCTTGGATTCGTTATGTGTTTGATTTTTATTAATTTTTAGTTGCTACGCTCAGAAACCTCTTACTGTTGCCAAAGTTTTCACACACAGCCTGGCATTTGCTCACAGGCCCTGCTACAGGGTTGCGACACCCCCCACCTCCNACCCCCCCACCCACCCCCGATTAAGAAGGTATGAGAGGAAGACAAAAGACAGAGCTACAGTTACCCCTGAAGCGTTACTCTGATATTAGCAAGCCACTGCTACGGTTGGTTTTTGTCAGTATTTTGCTTGAATGACAAGCCACAAAAGAACTTTCTAATGCTGTCTCCAAGACTGTGCAACCAGGGGCAGAGTGTGTTTCAGCACCCGTGCAGTATTGTAGAAACAGGCTGCATCTTCTTGTGGTGAATCACACAGATATTAGATAGGATTATCAGTCGAGTAGAGACCCATGGAAGGCCAATCACATCACTGCAAGCAGCTCCATAGTGATTTACGCTAATCAAGACTGAACATGCCCAGTGCACAGAGCCAGCAATTGCACAACCAGAAAATAAAAAAAAAAAAAAATCTCTAAAAGATGCTCTGTAGAGACAGGGACAGAAGGCCACCATGAACCTTACAATTGATTTGCTGTGAATTATAGACTCAATACTGTGCTTGCCAGATACCTCTCTAATATAGATTATTGGCACAACAACCCTATAGCCAAGCCACACTGCACCTGTCCTTCCCCCTGGAGGGTAAATGCCCTCTGTAAGAAGCCCCAAGGAAGTTAATCTGCCTCATTCTGGTGGAGGCCACAGAGACCTCCCAAGGGCTAAATTTAAGCCTGGTTAAGTAGAAGATACTAGGATCAGTACTGATCCACATCTACATGAAAGGGTAGAGGGACAAGGGCAGACGACCTGGCTTGGCAACCAGTGAGCTTGTTTGTAGAAATCCCTCACCCTCTAGGTGTGTCTGTCTGTTACTGTATGCCTCCTATGGCCTGTGAAGATTAGCTGATACCATGCCCCAAACCCTGGTCCAGCCCATTGCAGACCATCTTCCTTCCTTACACATGCCATGATTCCTTCCCACCCAGCTCTACACCCAGCTCTCCCCATCTCCTGGGCAACAACATCTAAAGGTTCTCACGAAAGAACCTCTCTGTCATTTAAAGCTTGCCCTCCTCGACCTCGCCATTTGGCTCCGGGTCCTTGTGTGCCATTTACCTGAAGAAGGGTTTCTAAACAGGGAAGTTAGAGCTGCTAACTGTCCCTCTCTATCTTTGTTTTGTAGAGACCTATGGCCATTGTGAGCAAGCCTGGGGAGGCTTTTTCTACTAATGGTGAACTAAATGATACATTAAATTGGGCACAGGCCACCTTGAGGCGGAGATGAAAAGAGCCCAGCCTGATCCAGGGGAGAGAGTTTCCCTCAGGGTGTGTTTTCAACTGCACTCGTCTTGCCACTTTAAATAGCACAGGGGAAAAGGACTTTCTGAGCATAACCCCAGGAACCAGCCAGGCTGCAGGATCACTGTCTGCTGCAGAAAAAGACGGGAGGGAGGGTGTGCAAGAGTGTGCTATGGGAGGGAGGGAGGGAGGGAAGGAGGGAGGGAGAGAGGGAGGGGTGTGCAAGAGTGTGTTACAGGAGGGAAGGAAGGGTGTGCTAGAGTGTTCCACAGGAGGGAGGGAGGGGTGTGCTAGAGTGTGCTGCAGGGAAGGACAGGAGGGAAGGTGTGCAAGAGTGTGCTACAGGAAAAGATGGGAGGGAGGGGTGTGCAAGAGTGCGCTCTATCTCTCTATTCCTCTTTGCCTGGCTCTCTCCCACTTTATAAAGTAAAGAAAAGCAAGCACAAGGAAAAGTACGCCATTTTACCAGAACTTCAAAAGACACAAAGGCCGGGTCTCTAGGTTAGTCTCTAAAATATTCCAGTAATGTTTGATTATAATTTCAATTAGGATCAGTTCTGCAAAAGTGAGCTCCGCTGTGGTCATAGCATAGAGACAATTACTTATTGTCTTCATCCACGGAGGAGCAAGGAGAAACTTTAAGATGATGTGAGATTCAGTTTTTCCAAAGGGTCAAAGGGAAAATGATGTCACAATAAGGGCAGAGAGGGTTGGACTTCAAGGCTGTGGGAGAAAACCTGCTATCTGATCAGATGCAAATTACTGCAGGGTCTGGCTGTCAATCACAACAGAATAAGGAGACCATTATATGTTACTGGCTGCTGCACGTGTGGACTAAACCAGAGTTTAAAATGGACATGGTCTATCTCCCTGCTACCCAGGAAAGCTCTAGATACAAAGAATATGGTTAGAATAAATTTCTTTTTCCTTCTTTCCTTTCCTTTCCTTTCCTTTCCTTTCCTTTCCTTTTCTTTTCCTCTTTTTTTTTTTTTTAAATTTGAAATAGGGTCTCACTTTGTGGCCCAGGCTGGCCTTGAACTTTAGATAATCCTACATCAGTCTTTATAGCCACACACTATCATGACCTGCTAGGATACTATTTTAAATAGTTGTTTCAGAATATTTATCTTTAGATATGCAAGTGATACAGAGTAGGGTTTTGGAAGCCGATAATATATATTATGGCAATATGCCATAAAGTATGAATATTGGTTATACCTTTCTGCATGCATATAAATGGCAAAACAGATTTTCAAAGTTGTTTCTTTTAATTCATTTTTGTGTGTTGGGGTGCATTTGTGGGGGGGGGGGGCACAAGGACAACTGCTCCTCGGTTGCCAGCTACCTTTTCTGAAATAGGTCTCTCACTGGCCTGGAATTTACAGCTAGCTAGCCTGACAGGCCAGCGCCCCACAGCTTTGCTCGTCTCCACTCTCCAGCAGGGAAACTGCCAGGGTACGCACTAGACAGCATTTTCTGTGTGTGCTGGTGGGGAAGGGGATCGTCGGATAAAACTGGTGTCTTCATGCTACAAAAGAGGCGCTTTCCAAACTGAACCATCTCCCTAGCCCCACGGCAGGGTTTCAATGTAGGAGTCTCCAATCCCCTATCCTGTGCAGCTGTCAGAGCAATTAAATGCACCAAACTCCAAATCCAACATACCACATTGCCTCAGTATCCAGTCAACAGCGTTCAGCCGCTGCATGCTCGTGCCTGTCCTGGTGCCGACCTTACCCCCACACTGCAGCCTTCACAGGCTTTAAGTCAGCCAGCCAAGTGACAGGAGGCCAGCAGTTGCCTCACCAGCAGCAAACAGAAATGACGCAGGGACAAAGTAAGCTCACTACAGGAAGGAAGGAGTGGTTTTAAGGTGTGCTGCTAGGAAGGAGGGTAAGGAGGGGCAGGGACAGTTCCTGAGCCATGCTGGATGAACAGGGAGAAGTGGAATCGCTGGTGGCAGTTTGGAGGTCTTCCCACGTCAGACACTGTTACCCTTTTGACATCAGCTTGTCTTTCCTCCCTCTTCCTGCAGAACACACAGGTGAAAACACACTTCTAAACCTCTTGTTCCCTGTTTGTCTTGAAGACTGTGGCATTTTCCTGTTTGCTTGCTTTTTACTTCTTTTTCCTTCAGAAATGACTCACAAATGCTATATTATTTCACCCTACGCAGATTGCTTTCCATAAATCCATGTGTGTGCGTGTGGCGGGGGGCGGGGGGAGTGTCTTGAAGCTGTATCATAAACATGACACATCTGTTTCTAATAATCAAAGAAGTATAATAAAACCTTTACTTTGGAGGAATAGCCAAAGTTTCATCCTGAAGGCAAATTATCCCCATCTGGTCCCAAGAGAGCTGGCTTTTGCATTAAGGAATATTTGCTGTTTGGGTGATTGGAGAGCAGAAGCGGGGAGAGGGGAAGTTGTTAGTTCCAACACACAGCGTTAAATGGAGTTCATTTCTAAAATTGAAGCTTCCAGAAACTGGTGAGTAATCCTCCTTCGTGGCATGATGTTATGTCACCAGATCTGCTGAGCCGAAAGCACAATAAAATTAATCCTTCATTCTGCAAAGGCTGGTGATGTGGCCCTCCCAGATGTGTCCGAGGAGATCGGAGGGGAACGGTGACTCCTGCCCTGCGAAGTTCATGAGCCATGGGCTGAGGCAGCTGGCGAATTTCCGGTGCACACACGACTCGAGTCCTCACGATCTGCAGAGTCACTGAATGGCCTTCTAACTGTTTCCCCTTGCTCCAGACATTAGTGCACATTTTTGAACAGTATCTTAATATTTGTAGCCAATATGGCAACTTACTAACCGAAGACAACAGTGGACGGGGAGGAAGGCAATGGAAGAATTAGGTAAGGAAACGGGCTTGTGTTTTTAGGCACGTGTCCTGTGAGATTTCAGTCTTGCAGTAGTTAGCTGGTGGTGGGAGGACTCGGGGTGGGGGTGCATGGGAGCTGCTTGAGTCCCCCAGAGGCCCTGATGAAAGGGCTTCCAATCTGGGGGAGGAAGCAGCTTTTTTCCAGTATAACACACTGACCCAATCATCAAATAGTTATGCTGAAATTGTTATTAGTGACCCCTATTGATTTCCAAAAAGAAGGTAACTGGTGATGGGAATTTAGAGTTGTATAATCGAATGACTTGGCTCTGTCAGCGGACGACTAACACAGGAGTCATACGTCACACAGATCTGGCCCACTGTGGCTGCCATACTTCGAAGGGATGATAAAAACTGTCTTATTTTCACGTCTGCTCACACGCCTATGGAGTCAACAACCAATCCCTCAAACTCCCCAGAAGAGAGGCTGATTGGTCAGCCTTGAGAACACGCTCGCTTCCTGGCTAGCGGAGGCATCATGCCTTGGCCAAGATGAGATAGGATGCCAGGACAAAGTGGGTTGCTGTCACAAAAGCAACCCAAAGATATTTTCTGGGGTGGTGCTTTCAGAAGCCTGTCACTGTGTTTACTGTGGAAACGTTAGCATCTGTCCCTCTGGGAAATGACCCCTCTCAGTAAGACAGCTGGGAGCACAGCCATAGCTGTCGTGTGATTGGACCATGCAAGACCCACGTGTTGTTGTGTTGTTATGAGACGCTAAGTGAGCAGAGCCCGAGTTTGATTAAACCTCATATTGCAGAACTTACTGCCACATCAGTAGAACCCCAGAATTGAGCAGGAACCCTGGGAGGCCCGCCAGCAGCAGAAGGCCAGTGTCTATCAGAAAGCCAGCATCAATCAACGTCGTCAGCTGGGTTCCGCCGAACACCATTAACCCGCCTTTAGTTTTAAATAGCTCAGTCAGCTTTATATACAGTCATTTATGATGACTTCAGTTTGGGTCTGAATGCCATGAATGCAAATCTCCTTCTCCTTGACACATTTGTGTGTCTGTGCGTGCATGTGTGCCTGTGTGCCAAGGGTTAAGCCCTGGTTCTTTTGTATGTTGGGCCATTCTCTAACACTGGGCTTACAGACTCAGCCCAGTTCTTACATTGTTACATTGTTAGAAATGGCTTATTTATTTCTTATTCTGTGTGCATTGGTACTCTGCCTGCTTTTACGAGTGTGGGATCTCTTGGAGATGGAGAATTGAACCCAGGTCCTTTGGATGAACAGCCAGTGTTCTTTACCACTGAGCCATCTCTCCAGCACCTCCACCCACCTAGCTGGTTGACGCATTTAAAAATGAAAAACAGGAATCTGGGGTTCTCAGCCTCACTTTTATCTGCTTACAAATGGTCGTTTCTGTGTTTCCTTGCCTTTGGGCAATACTCTAGATCCCTGGGAGGTGTGGGAACAGGTCCTCTCATCCCCTTTTAAGTCCCTACCTTGCAGTGCCTCCCCTCGGTAAACAGCAAACACGTTGTTCTTTAAAGTCAGTGTTTTTTTCTTTTATTCAAATGCAACTAAATGTAACGAATAGCTAATGCCATGCTAGGCAGAGCACCATGGGAATCTACAGGTAGAAAAGGTTTAGTGTTCTTTCTTACACACACACACACACACACACACACACACACACAGTGTGCCCATTTTCTTATCTCTTCAAATATTCACCACCAATAAGCTCTACAGAGAGAAAAGAGTGGTGAGGAAAGACAGGTGTCTAGCAGAATCTCTTAACTGGTTTACTCACCCCTCCCTGACCATTTGGAAAGAAGCCTCTGGCAGCTGAACCCTGGGATAACTTTCAGGGTCCCGGGCACTGTTTCCACATCTTTCCTCTCGAACTAACTAAAACTTGTATTTACAACTGCCCTGGAATAAGGAGAAATATAAACTAGGCCCAACTCAATATCATAATCCACTATTAATGGACTCAGTGGTGTTTTTTAAGTGGAATTAAAGTTAGAGCATTAAAACATAAAGTTTAAGCACCGTGGGTTTCTTACATAGGGCGTCTCAGGGCCCAACCAGGAAGCGGCCCTGTTTCGATGACTCCCCACCAGGACAAGGCCTCTTCTTTCAGAGCAAAGCTTTCTGGTTGAACTCACTCAGGAGATCTCTCTTTCTCTAGTCTGATAAACTAACACACTGAGAACCAACGGGAAGAAATCCCCACCTACATTCTCGGCACCGGCTCCCCGCTGGGAACCACTGGTACCTTTTCTGTCCCTACTCTAAAGGACAATTACGCCTCCCCAACACACAGTAACTCTCCTCTTGTTTATGTAAAGACCCCAATTAGGCCAGAAATAGAATTTAGCACCGCAAACATTGTTTAAAAAATGTTAAGACATTTAGACCAGTGCCTCCGTTCATTATTCTCTTTTGAAACCTAATATTAGTAACAGCATGTGCCGAAGACCTGGGCCATGAATTAATAATGAAACACTTGTACTGGAAAATATGTGAGCACCTAGTTGCTCTATTTGGCAGGCCCCTGTCGGGATGGGAGTTCGCTCTGACTTACACAGCACTTTCTATGATCATTGTACAGAATAAAACTGGAGATCAGTTATTTCCTTGGGATTTCTTGCAGGGAGCGAGACTATGGAGCATGCGTCTCCCACTCACTCTCCGCTGCCTTAGAACAGATGCAGGCTCCCGGGGAAGGTTCCAGCCCCAACCTTTTCTTCCCTGAAGCTTTCCCTCTCCAAGAATAGTTTCCTTAGCCGTGGTAATACACACAGTGTCAACTATTTATCCATCTAATTTATTCTTTAAAGATCGAGAAAAAGTTCTATCCTTGTTCTGCCTCTAGCTAATAGTGGGGACTGTTGAGAACAGAGGTCACAGATTCAATCAGACCGGAGTGGAATCCGATTGCCGTGACCCTCAAAGAATAGGTGCATGTTCCTGAGCACATCGTTTGACTTTTCTGAATCTTAGCACGTTCATCTGTAACGAGGGAGACTAGCTTGGTCCTCTCTGGTCCATAAGGATGAGCGTGGATGTGGTGGAGCCACTCTCGCAGTATTGGGTAAACAGGGACCTACTATCCTACCAACACCCCACCGTCCTCATCTTTGTGTGCCTGCCCTGTGGTATCATCATTAGTGCCTGCGAATGTTAGTTGTATCTGACATGGAGTCCTTGCATCTACAAAGAAGGCCGGTTTGTTTTCCTTGGCATGGTTTTTAACAAAAGCAGCCCACACTGACTTTCCTCTTTCTCTGGAGAGTTGTTCTCTGGTGGCATCCCTGAGCACCTGATGGCAACTCCTCAAGGAGGCTTCCCAACGGGATCCACCTCTCTGATGGGATCTACTCTCTCAAGAGATCTAGGAAGACACTCTTAGCACCAGCGTTCCCAGCGCCTATCATAACAATCAAGACACATGTCAGCCTACACAGAAGCAAGGACAGGGACAGAGGTGTCCTGACTGGGGTTCTGTCTGTGGTCCTGCAGCCTTAAGGATGCTTTACTTTATTTCTTGCAACCCAGCTCACTCACCTGTCCCTTAAGACTGAACTTCCTGTAGCTTCCAGCACTTGTTTAAAAAAAAAAAAAAAGGTGCCTTTCTGCATCTGCACAAAACAAGCGGTTGTTGTCATCACTATCCTTGTCCTGTGAAACCTTAGCAAGGCTCTAGAGTTACAGATTCCATCCCTCTGTGCCGAGCACAGTCTTAGCCCCACACCGGGGAGGTGTGTCCAGCGGCCCACAAACCATTTAGACATTAAATATATAGGTACATATATACATATATATAATGTGTATTATATATATTTAAACTACAAATCAACCCCCCCCAAAGTTATTTGCCACCAACCAAGCAAGATAAAAGGAAAAGTACAAGTTAGAATCCCCCTCTGCGAACGAAAAGCAGCCTGGAGC